AATTCTTACTTTCCTGAAGTTTATACAAGGCAAAGAGAATTCAATGGGTTCGTTGAAAAACTTCGATTAACCCACCATGAATTTAAACTACTTTCTTCACTTCCTTATAATATTATACGTCGACAATTGTGTTTTTGCAGAAAAAAATTTTTTTTTTCCTTTTTTCGCATATTATCTTTATTATATATAGCATTGTGCAATGACAAATATCTGGATAACATATCGTACAATATAAACAGAAGATATTGTGTCGGTGTAATAAAAAAAAAATTGTTAATTAAAATTACTTAATTTTTTTTATAATATTTTGATTGATAAAAAAGTAATTTGAGAGAAAAAAAATAAAAAATGTTTTTCTACTTAAAAAATGTGTCATAGGAACTTTAACAAGAGATGAAAAGAAGTAAATTTACTTCATATAGCATATCATTACGATAAGAAAATCGTAAATTATCATACGTTTAACAGCTGCTGCATTACCCTTTGTATCTTTAATGTATATATTATGATTGTAAGAGAGCATTGAGCTATAGAATTTTTTTTTTTTTTTTTTTGCTTATTTTCTTAATCATCTGTAATTGAAGACAATTTTACAAATGTATTATTAGTTTATACAATTTTCAAAGTTATGTATTTCATTATACATTTTCATACACTAGCGCCACTTGCGGAAAAAATGTTGCAACTCAGGTGAGAGTTAGTTTTTTAAAAATGGCGCTAGTTCAGAAGAAACTATTTTCTGAACGAAAAGAAGATAAAAAAATGGAATTAGTTGAAAATAAATACAGTAGAAAAATAATTAATTATATAGTGTAATGTAATAAATATTTATATAGAAAACTTGAAGAATTTTTGCAGTTCAAAAAAGACAAAGCGATGAAAATAAGAGCGTAAAAATCATCACTTTTCGCGAGTGTCTCAACACTTGAAACAAAAATATATATTACAATAAAATTCAAAAGGGGTTCGGTAAAAATTCACATAAATTTTGTAAATTCTGTGTTTCATTACTACTGTTTTATCGCGCCCTTGGCGTCATTTACACTCTCAACGTTATAGTGTGATAGGATCTTATCCATACAGATCTACCCTTCTCATAGATGGCGCGCTCGCTTATCCGTGAATGTATCGTGCTTTTTGCCAAGTGCACCTCCATGGAACTAACGGATTGTTCCGGATTGTTCAACGGAGCGCTTAAAAAAAAAAAAAAAAAAAAAAATAGTATACGCGGAAAAGCGAAGATCGAAAGGGATAATTTATTGTCGATTGCTTGGGACATCCCGTGTGTCCTATTGGATACTTTTGCTCTTGCCTGTACTAACATTCGATGCGGGTTTTCGTGGCGTGTCTGTGAGCAAAGAAACCAGTTTTTCGTCGAATCGAAAGGCCCCTCCACTATACGACCATGATTCTGTCTGAGAGTTTGCCCACTGCAATAAACTATATACAATGCGATTTTTTATTTCAATTTTTTATCCCACTGATTAGAAGTAAAAGAATGAAAAAAAAATTTAATTCATCATAAAAATGAATGAGCCTTATGAATTCCTTTTCATTTTCTTAAAATGAGAATAAAAAAAAAGGTGCGAATTTTTTTTTCAATGGAAATTTTTATTGCAATATTATAAATATATTATATAAATCTCTAAATTTATCAATATATTGAAAAATGTTTTTATATTTAAAATAACATACATATATTTGACAATATTTCAATTCAAAACATTGATTTCTTTTGTTAGTTTGCAATTTTTCTTATATAAAATCCATCCAAGTATATATATATATTGAGAGTATATAGAACCGGATTGACGAAAATGAATCATCGCGAATATTTTGCCTCCGAGGCGGTGTTTTCAACTGGATTGATTTTGTCGAGCAATTGTTCAATGAATGAAGCCAAACTTTTGAAAAGTCAGTTTAGAATTGCAATATAATAGAACCCAGAGGGAAATATAATAAATTTTCGTTTAAGAAAATTCACATATAGGATGAAATTTTTTTTCCTTTCAATAAAATAATTTAATTATATTTATTTTTATTGCGTGTAAAATTTATTATTATTTTTTTGTTTCAAATATTTATAGATAATTAATTTTTTAATCAAATATTTTATGAAACAATTAATTCAATGTAAAATTTCGTTTGAAAATTACAAAGTAAAATATATTTTATAAGGTATATATATATACGAATACTTAAATTGATGCGCCACGTTAAATTGAATGTATGCGTATACGTTGGTAAAGTTATTTTCGTAGAAGGGTCTTTGTGCGCAAAAAAAGAACTCCATGACAAATATTCTCGAGTCACTGCACTATACATATATAGAAAGACACTTGCAATTTCGGTAGCTCCAAATTCCAATAGAAATTATTATTTTTAATTACCTTCAATTCTCTTACAATAAACAGACAAAAAAATTAGTTTCCTACTAATAGTGTAAAAAAAAATTGTCATTTTTTATGAAAAAAATATTTTTCAATCAAAAATGTTATGAAATATTTTTTTAAAAAATTGAAAAATCATCTTGTGAGGGTTAATAACATAACTCAATTGTAAATATATACATAATTGAATGATGATGATCTTCGAAAGGTGTTAAGTCTCGGTTTGCTAATAAAAATAAAGTAGGAAATGCTACACAGCGAGCTATATACTAAAACAGTTGTTCTTAATGGTTAGTAGATGGCAGACTTCCAAATTATTCAGCGAAAAAAGAAGAAAAAAGAAGAAAATGAAAAAAAAGTTAAGAACGTTTCTAATTCGCGATAAGATTTCTCATTCAACAGTCGAAGAAACTCGTTTTTTGCCTATATGTATAAGTATATATAGGCATATTTCTCCACAACTTATTTAAAATTACATACATACTCTTGCATTTGTTTTTTTTTAAATTGTAACTTTGATTTTAACTAGCTTCGATTGTTACTAACTTCGATTGTAACCAGCTTCGATTATTACTAGCGTAGATTATAACTAGCGTTTTTTGTAATTAACTTCAAATGTAACTAGTTTTCTTTGTAATTACAGCGTCAATTATAACTAGCTTCGATTGTTACTATCTTCGATTGTTACTAGCTTTGAATATTACTAGCGTCGATTATAACTAGCGGTTTTTGTAATTAGAATTGTAACTAGAGTTTGTTTAATTAGCTTCGATTGTAACTAATGTGCTTTGTAACTAACTTCGATTATAACTAGTAATCTTTGTAACTAGAATAGATTGTAACAAGCGTCAATTATAACTAGCGTTCTTTGTAACTGGAATCGATTATAACTAGCGTTATTTGTAACTTGTATTCTTTGTAAGTAGCGTCGATTGTAAGTAGGGTTTATTGTAACTTGTATCTTTGTAAATAGCGTCGATTTTAACTAGCGTTCTTTGTAACTAGCATCGATTGTAACTAGCGTTCTTTATAACTAGCTTCGATTGTAACTAGCGTTATTTTTAATTTTGTTTGTGTATAAATAGCGTCTTTGAAATCTGTTTTCAATTGTAGCTAAGTGTGAAGAATCGACAATTTTTTTAAGCTATGGACAACGATTAATGTATATATTATATATACAAATACAAAAGAGAGATAATTTTCTTCAATTGATTTAATCTCTCCGAAGAATGATTAATTTTTAATACAGCGATGAAATATATTGCTTTTAATTCTAAAAAATCACTAAGTTTTTTTTTCGATAAAACTTGTGTCATTTTCCATTCAAAGTATCAAGATATACGCTAAGATGTAAATGCGTGCAATAATGTTGGCAATGGTAGGATAGTAGACGCGGTCTTGAAGCAATCAAGCGACTTACGCGCGTCGTGGCAAGCACTTCAAAGTGACTGTATAAGCTAAGAATAGAAGTAGAGTACAATGACCAAGCTCCGATCGTCTTGAAAATTTCCCTTCAATGTAATATTATTTTCATTATTTGTCAATTGACGAAAAATCATTTACCAAAAGAAATTTTTTTTAATAATTTTATATAATTAAATACCATCTATATAAGAAATTGAAAAGAAAAATATATTTTTTTGCATTTTTTTTTTTTCAAAACACAATTTTTGTTAAATTATTCTCTGTTATAGAAAAGAAAAATTATTTTAAAGATGTCGTTGAGATAATTGAAGATGAATCATGAAGTAAAAGTTGCGGGGGGTTTGATCGTATATAACACACAAAATAAGAGTGATATTGGCCTTGAAAAGAGCGTCATTAACTTTTTTTTTTATTTCTGTATTGAGAATGACGATTCATTACGAACCAGCTTGGGCAATAATTGCATGCGATATTTCTGGACGAAAAAAAAAATATATGCGGGAAAAAAAAGATGTTTGATGAGAGATGAACGATAGAAGGGGAAAAAGTTGTTGTAGGTACGGCGCCGGACGGCGATTGGATCTTGATTCGTGTCTTGCGTTCACCAGGTAGCCACTTGTTTTTAGGCTCAAGCAGGTGACATTGAATGACTAGAATTTAACCTACGCGACCGTACGCTATACGCGACAAAAGAAAAAAAAAAAAAAAAAGAGAGAGAGAGAGAGAGACAATTCTTTGCTTTACAATCGCGAAATATTCCCATTAACAAAATTAAAAAAAAAATTGATCAAGAGAATATTTTTTTGAATAAAAATTTTACCGAGACATTTTTTTTCTCTAGAAAGAAAATATGGTTTGTAAAAATGGACAAAAGTGAAGGTAATTATAATTAATTAATTAATTAGGAAAGTCGCCGTTACGTATTAAATTCAATTAATTAAAAGTTGCAAACGGGATGAAACTTTTGTTTGAAAAAAAAGAAAATTATTAATTATGTATAAAGTACAAAAATATTAACTCTTTTTTTCTCCATTTTATAAAAACGTATGTAACTTTTGATGAACATATGTAGTTGTAATGGAAAATAGTTTTTTTTTTTATAAATTGTTTACTGAAAATTAACAATGTATGGTATGTTAGAAAAATTACATTGAAATTTTTGTCATAAAACACCTGGAAACCTACCTTTGTGAAAAAGGTGAATACTAGGAGCCCGAATCCGGGAAAATACTCCAATTTGATTAAATGCAGTGATTGTATTTCGGAAATAGTCGAACATTTTTTAACAGTTTGTATTAAAATTTCGTCACTATAATTATTGTCTTTAATCGATTAATTTTACGTAGATATTTTTTGTAATTTTTTATTTGTAGAATTTAGTGTTCATACTCTGAATTTCAAAATTTTTCTCACATTCACTAAGAGATTTTTATTATCGAAATGAAGATTTATTAAAATTTTAATTTTAAACTTATTATAAATTTATAAAAACTTCAAAAATTGCATTGTTATTATATGAAATAATTTTCTTTTAAAGTTTTTAAAACTGTTTTTCAAAAAAAGAAGTTTTGGGAAAATTTTCTTCAAAAATAAAATTCTTTACAGAAACTTGAAGTTATTATATAGAGGTATATAAAAATCTCTTTGCAAATGTAAGGATTCATTTTGTTTATTTTCCGAACAATTTTTATCTATACATTTGACGGATTTAAAGATAATATAATTTAAATTTGAAGATAAGATATAATAAATAATACACGAAGATAATAATAAAAAAAAACTCAATTAATTTAAAAGTAAGGCCAAGATAATATATATTAGAAAATAAATGAAAAAGAATGCATACAAGAGATAAAAACAAAAGTGTGCCAAAAATTCATACATTTGACCAGAGAAGAGGTGAATTTTTTTTAAATCTTTTTTTTTGTACGATGACAACTCTCATATATTGATGTAATCGTCATTGCTGGTATTTTATTTATTTCATAAAGTGCATATTTCACGTGCACGTGGTGAGAGTCATTTATATGACAGACTATATACGATATGCTGATATCTTTATACGATATTGTGTTTCTACCGATACATTAATGGCATATTTCTTATGCAAAAGTTGATTTATATTTAATATACATGTGCAAAAGAAAAAAAAATGTTTTTTTTTCAACTTCATTGATAGAAATATTTTTGCAGTAAAGTTCATTAATTTTATTCATTCTCATCAAATGAGAATGAATTAATTCATTGAAAGACAATAAATATGTTCAATAATTTTAAAAATGACATTCTCTATAACATTTTTGTCCGATATTTCACTATTTTTAGAATATCAGTATTTTAATATTTTCATATCAGTCTTTTTCAAGTTTCTTTTCTACTTTTTTTTGTGACGATTGATATTATTTATAAGTTGCAATTTTAAGATTGTGTTAAACATAATTTTCGAAATAAAAATTTAAGTTTACATCATTTTCAATCAGATATTTTGAACTGATAAGTCGATGTCAAATATATTCTCTTCATATTGATGTTTTGTTAGCCATTTGTATTTCAATATTATTCACAAAAGAAAAAAATGAAGACGCACTTTGAGTATAAAAATAACACAAAAGTAAATAAAATAGTTTTTTTTTTAAAAAAAAAAAAGTTTTTTCTCATAACACTTTTGTTTTGTATTTTTATATCTCTTCCAATCAATGGGTTTTTAAGATTTTCAGGTGCATTAATTAAATAAATATAATGAATTCTTTTGTCAACTATTGCTTAGAACAATTTTGCTTTTTGTCGTTGTCTTTTTTAAAGTAAGTTTTTTATAGTATTCACTTCTTTTTTTTTTAAAGAAAGCAGAAAAAAAATGATTGAATGCAACTCTTTTTTGCTTATGATTCTATACTATCATTTAATAATACCTTCGTGTCGCTTTCGAAAAAAATTTTTTCAACTATAGTTAAAAAAAAATCAAAATTCATCTGTATCCAAACAATATTTTCAGAAGTTATTATTTTATAAATTATTTTGCGATTATTTCTATGAATGTTTTTTTTATTATCAAACTTTGCAAAACATAATTTCTTTTTCTTGCTATATTTTTCAGTTTTATAAATAAGCAATTTTGCACCATTGAATATTTGTTGTATTTTTTTTATGCATAATGGCACTTAAATTTTTTTTGACATTTTGTAGTTTACTTAAGTTTCATAATTGGAAATATTTTCGTAGATTTAGAGTTTTCAATGTGTAACATTTTTGAATAAGATTTTCTGATTTGGATTTTCAACATCCGTTTTAGTTTTTAGTTTAATAATAATACACCTTTATATAATGTTAGTTATAATATAAGTGGCTAATTTTTTTTTGTAATGTATATGATTTTTTACAGGGACTTAAAATAGCTTCTTTTTAACAGCCTTAAAAAAGTCTTCTTTTAGTTACAACATATTTTGACTCTTTTTTGGTCCTCCTCGGATATGTTATTCCATGTTTTCAAATTATGCATTTGTCTGTTTTTTCATTGTTTTAATATAAAAACTTATTCTGATAAATTCGATACCAAATAACATTTCATTAATATAGACATATTGATATACTTTCTAAACTACTTTTATCAAATATTTTCTTCTTTTAAAGTATATATAATATAATTATTAATATATACACTTCCACCTCAATCAAAAGTAAAAAAAAAATTCACTAATCCTTATATAAATACATTTAGATAGAATTTAGAAGAAATTTTTTTAATATGATTTAAAAGAAAGTTTTTATAAATTTTTAAAGTTCTTTTTTGTTTAAGTTTATAAAAACTACATTTTGTTTGTTTAAAAATTTGTAGTATATTATATAAGGAAAAGTAAAAAATAATACCATAGCCTTGAAGTTAATAATTAGTGTAGGATAGAAATACTTATTCGAGTCACACTGTGAGTAGAAAAGTTATGGCAAGTCCAGACTTGCTGAGTAACGAATCCACACAGACACACACACACACATACACACACGAGAGAGAGATAGAGAAAGAAAAAGAGAGAGACAGAGAGAGAAATGAATATAAAAAAGGCAGAAAAGAAACCACTGTGACAAAGCACTGCTAATAAATAAGGAAACAGAATTTTTGGCACACTTTTTTTTAGATAGCCACTGAGCACTGAATAATCACAAAAAAAGGAAAAAAGAAGTATTATATAGAATATCGCGAAACCGTTTGCAATTGTGAAATGAGACACAATGGGAGGACATTGACGGTGACACGTGTGTAGGGAACGTTGGCACATAGGCGTTTTAATTTAGCATGGTATATATGCATGTGGTTGCGTGCACTAGGCAGAGGTTAAGTATCGTAGCATATCTGTAGTGGTAGCAGTAGTAGTAGTAATACCAGGCGAGTGCGGCGTGACGAAGGCGGGAAAATTTAAAGTCTCGCCGCGAGAGAGGCATATAGAATAAACCAGCAGCGTGATATCACTCTTTCTTTCTCTCTCTCTCTCTCTCTTTCTATCTCGTTGGGGTTGTTTTGCAAAACGAATCAAGCCCAGGGTGGGTGGGAGAGAAGATCAGACGGCAGCAGCAGCAGGGGGGGGGTGAGGGAGGGGAGTTTGAATGGGCTGCGGGTGGCAATAGCGCGGCCAAACCGTCGAGGGTCCTGTTTTGTGTCCAAAACGAACGGAATTGGATGATGGCATTCGCCGACGGTGGTAATATGTACTCACCGGAATTGTAGTATTCCTTAAAGTAGCGTGTCGCTGCGCGCTGAACAATCGAATAATACAAGTTCACGTATGACGTTGACTGATTTTGTGCGGAGAGCGCCATTTACACCGTCTTTAAATGAATTCTTGTTTCTTTCTTATGTTTTTTTTTTTTTTTTATTGTTAAACTGAGATTGGAACTTTATTGGCGACACTTGCCCGCGTGCGTGCGTGCTAATTGTAAGTTGCGTGCGCGAGAGCGTTTTTTTTTCTTTTTTGATTTTTGATAATAACACGAGATGGCGTTTTAGTAAACACACAACACGATTTTCTTTCACATGCCGAATTTGTGCCGTACCGCGTAGGTAGGCGAAAACGAGACGAAACACTTGTAATCTCCGGGTTCTCTTTTGGTAAAACCGCGCCGGTAGACAAACTCGGTAGACTCGGCTGGCCCCGAGTACTCGCCAAGACCGAGACGTCGCAGTGTTGCCACGCTTCCGTCGCCGGCATGCACTGGAAGTGGGGATTTCTGAACTGGATTGGGGTTTGGGTGGATGGAGAAGAGAGAGAGAAAGAGAGTGAGAGAGTTGAGTTGGGTGAGAGAGGACGAGTGGAGAAGGTCCGTGTGGAATGAGAAACGACGGCGGCAATGGTCGCGGAGGTGGAGGAGAAGAAGAAGAAGAGTGGTGGAGGTCGAGGAAACGGACCAACGGTTTGGGGAGGGAGTCATGATGGGAAGGGTACGGCCAGGGTGAAAAAGTTATGTTCGTCGGACCTGTGGCAAAGGGGGAGGGGTTTTGATGCTTCGTCGCGACGGGATGGGTGGTGAGGAGCGCCCCACTGTACCCCGCGGCGACGACGCCGGTAACGGGGAGGGTGGGAGGGGAGAACGATTGGTGCCGGCGGATGGCGCGGCAGTGGAGGAAGGACTACGGTGGGAGGATGAGGAGGACATTGGGTGGGAGGGAGGGATTCCCCAGTTGTTCTACCACACCGCGTTTTATACCCCTCGATGCGCGCTGCGCCGATGCATCGTGCCACGAGCACGACTACCTCCGAGTCACACGGAATGCTCGTGCCACGAGTACGAAGCCTCTCCCAAATCAATATCACTCGTCTAAAAAAGCAGCACCTGTAATCGCACTTCCGAACTTCCGGAATTTCGCGACTCAACCGTTTCTTCTTTTTGTATTGTACATGTATAGATATACAAGGCTACCCCTGGATAGTAGCGTCCTCCTCTTATTGACTCAGGTCAGGTTGGTCTAGACTGGTTAGGTTTTGATTAGAACGACGCACTCTCCGTTTCCCGCCAAAAATCATTGCGCATTCAACCATCCTTTTAATGACTCCATGTGATCAACAATTTCTCACAATCTAAATACAGTGAGTGACTATAAAAGGTAGCAACTTTTTTTTAAAAATTAGTTTCTGTTACAATAATTTACTGATCTGGTATGTCATAAATATTTACCTTATCTTATTTCTCTATATGAAATTAGAGCTTTATTCAGTATTTAAACTTCGATTTCCATCCTGCAAATTATAATATAATGAATCTAAATGGAAGCATTTAGACGATAATCAACTCTCTTGCGATGAATTGAGGCACGATGTACTTAGGTGCGAACAAACACGTGTCTGCATTATAAATTAGATACGTATAGAGACCAACAGCTTGCCAGGATTAAGACGATCTTGAAAATTTACACAAGATATTTCCACTCCATGATGATTATCTGGAAAGTTTTCCATACTATATGATGAATAAACAAAAAATGTACAAAGAAAAGAAAAATACAATTCTACATGCAGAAGTACATATTAAAATCTAAAATCCTTACAGTGTCCTATCTAAGCATGTAAACAGAGTTTTTTTAAAGAAACCCTTCTCCTGTGTAGGCGAAATTAGAGGGAACCTTATAGAATTACTTATAAGTACCCAATATAGTTTTTTAAGAATTAGCCGTAGAAACATAAAAGCAAGAAACATTGTTTTATTTTTCATCCTCTGAAATAGGATTTTTCCATTGAAATGGGGTTATTTCTATGAAATCATTAAACCCTTTGATCAGTCACGTGCTGTAACGCTTGAACTCGAATGTTAAATGTTTTGCAAGGTATTTATTGCAGAGTAATGCAAAAAGCGTAACCAGATAAGGACGCAGTAGAAGCTTAATCTAGCGGCACGGATGATGCTCAAGATGCAAATCTAACGGCAGATTTCAGTCACACTTCCTGTCTTTAAGTGCAACCGTTCACTGGGCGATAGCAGTTTAAGAGATATTATTGCAAATGAAGGCATTTCATAAATCCTAATTCGTTAAGTATATACAGAAGCATATCAAGATTGAATTCTAACATCGTTTGTATATATTTTATTGCATTTACGAAAATTTATACAATTAATTCATTTTAAAGCAAATCAATTAAAGACTTAGTGTACAATACATTAGATTTCATAATACAAACTAAAAGAATACAGTATTTTGAAAATTATTTCCGATTTAAAAAAACTGTTTAATTATATTTTCATTTGTTTGGATTAGACAATATTTTTTTGAGAAACAAAGACCATCGTTCAATTCGTTAAATGGTATTTTCTCTCGAATTTCAATTAAAATTCTCCGAATTTATTTGCATTTAAGTGAACTGGATTTTTCGACCAATGAATCCAAACTTTCCAATTACTACATTTCGAAGAGATGCATTTTTCTTGCTTTATTTTGAAAATACTAGCATCAAGCAACTCTAACAATTTGGAAAATACTGTATTCTAATTATAAAAATATTATAAAAAAAAATTCAAAATAGTAATTACATAATTTTTTAAATCGATGTAATGCAAAGTAAAGAATTTTAAGTAGTAACAACCATAATGAGTCAGACGATGGCCAAAACAAAAATCATAAGATTTTTCATTATTTCTTGATGAATTTAGATTTCTTTTGTGAATTTCTTTATGTGTATGTGTATGTGTGAAAAAAAACGTAAGCAGATTTTACTGCCGTAAAAGTGGACGCTTGCAGCCCTGCATTATCGTCCAAACCTAAAATCGATACCGTGCTGGAGAAAAACGTCGGTGAATTTTCCAGAAGATAAATGGCCGCTCATTGGAAACCCTTCCACCTCTGGGCTCCTGCCTATTCTCCCCGAATCCTATTCACATCGTACTCCTCTTCCTCTCGTCCTTGTACAGATCCTCGTGATCCTGATACGCTCATGGTCTAAAGTTATTCGTTTGTTATATATCGACGATCGTACGGAGAATTCGACAAACGTAAAAATATTGACCATACCCAACAGTTCTTTGAGAGATAAAAAGTATAAATTTTTACCTTTTAATTAATGCTTTAATTAAGCTCGGCGAAATTTGTTGAAAATGCAACTCAGGACATTTTTTTTATTTCTCATATATATATATATATATTGAAGTGAAAATGTTCACTATGTGATTTATTTTCTACGAAAAAATATAAAATATATCTTAAACAATTTTGTATGTGATGTAAATCATTGAATAGTTTTAGTTATTTTATATTTTATAAAATGATTTATATAAAACGATTATTCGTGAAGAAATTCAAATCCTAGAAATGTTCACATTGTTCTTTCTTGAAAACTATAATTAATATTTTCAAACTATATCTCACTATCTCTTATTTGACATTTAAGTTACATGCCATGACTATTTTTTTTGAGTTTGACTATGAAATTTTTAATTAGAATTCTGAATTACCTAAAGAGGTACAACAGTTTCGTTATATCGGTATTTAGTCAAGATGTTAATTTTTTAAATCTTATAATTAGATTATTTATTTATTTTTACTTACATTTTCGATTTTAACGAGAAAATTTATTTTTTATTTTACCAAAAAAAAAATCCAAGCACGAGTTCATGAAGTTGTGTGCTTAAGTTAACAGCTTAAGAAGTAGCTAGTAAGAAGTCGTGGTTCCTTGCCCTCTGTGGCGTATTTATATCTAAAAGTGTAGCGTACGAATGCATTTGCGGTACGACGCTTGTTTCCCGGACCGTCATCACGACACGGTCTCGACTTTCTTCTTAGAGTAGATGGACCGATGATGTCGAAATAATGGATTGTCGTATATGTCTATTGTTAGACATTATTTTTTAACAACAAAAAATCATTCCCTCTATTATAATTTTCTTGAAATGATTTCGATGTAAATAATTTTTTTTTTTTTGCAAATAATGATTTGCCAAAGTGTCAGAAATAAAAAAAAAAATGATAAAATTTAAAGGTTAGAGAAATATTGATACAGGATGAGTAGAGTGAGTTGGAGTAAAATAAAGTGAATTTAGTTCGATCATAGTGGATTACGGGGGATAAGGAAGAAAGTGAGGAATAGCATGAGGATGGATGGGTATATGAAAATGGATGGAGGTAAATTTCTCAGTACGATGGTGAACGGAAATGCATTAGAGCGACTGAAAATGTTTCTGGTTTTCAAGATCGAGCTCCATAGGACGCTTAAGTATATATATATATTATACATTAAACTAGATGTCTCATATATGAAATGCATATGACATTTTAAAAAGTACTCGAATATTTGATGGAAAAATAAAAGTTTTTTTTAATAAATCTCTATTTTGGAATAATCCAAGAGAAAATGATATATTTTTCTTTAAAAAAAAAAATTGGTCCTTTAGAAAGAAAAATCATTTTTATTTCTTAGATGATAAGTTTTTAAAAACAGTAAAACATGTTTTCCATGGCAAGTCTTAGGATTAAAAATATTGTCATATATTTTTTAAATTTGCTATATGTATAGTAAAATTATTCTACACATCCAATATATGGGATTATAAATAATTCGATATTCGCGAAACATTAGTAGACCTATCACTTGCGATAAAAAATTCTTCCACCTGAGACTTCTTCATGGTTATGTTGCTAGAGTGGAAATTTTGATAAAAAAAAAAGAAAAAAGAACAGCATATACAGTAGAATGAAGAAGGGTTTTAAAATACAAAATTCAGCA